TATAAAATACTGCATGTTTGTGTACCATACTGTATACACACTCATGTAATACCGGTACATTTCCTATACAAATAACATGAATCGGCAGTATATGCCCAATGCATTTCAATAAAAATCCTCGCTTTGTGTTGGAAACTGGATCAACATGCTCACAAAGAATTCATTATTTTTGTTATATTCCACAACACACCTACTTGTTGATGCAATCGAATGTGCCAAGGCTGTGAGAAATCAATCTGGGAAACTGCACTCTGCAATATTTGGGTGACCTTGTATTCAATTTGGGATGACCTGTTTGGGAGCTATGTACACATTGAGTATTTCTTCTTTCTGATGGTGAATGGATTCATGCAGGGCAGTGTTACACACACATGAATGGGGACTGACAATGACTGAGGGAAAATCATGGTCATGATGGTGTAAGCCTACTGGTACATGTACCGGTACGTACATGTACATGTACATGTGGTGTACATCATGTACCGAATTTGTACTATTACATTGTGATTGAATGTTCATTGTACAATTGGTTCTGCACAAGAGTAAAATGTTTTTCCAAGTAAATTGAATCTACTCAACATTTCTGGAAGATTCAAAAAGAGAGTTTATTGGTCTTGTCTGAAAGCTACATGTATCTCATGAACATTTGTATAGGCCCTATACGTACATGTACATCATACCGGTACATGTTTTGCATGTCTCATGTTGCATACAATGTATTATTACTTCCCTATCGATATTATGAGAAAAATGTGCCTTGATGGTCCTGCATTGAGGATTTTAGTGGGATCCCATGTGAATCACCTATAATTGATGTGAGAGCAAGGAGTAATGAGAGTGAGAGTGTAAATTTTAAAGGGAATGTACATCATTGGCTTTTGCTGTAATTTTCAGAAATGAACTATTTGAAGGGGGAGTATAATAGATCAAATTTTGTTTCACTGACATGTTTGAAGTTTTTTGTTCGAAAATGCTGGAAAAACCAAGAAAAACAAAAATGTTCAAGTAGTCTGGTTCCCTGACTCCACTAAAGATAAAATGGATCAATACCCAGATGCCGGAAAATTGTAAGGTAAGGGAACAAGTCTAGCTGGCCTGCACCTGTTCAAGAATACCGGTATGTAACCAATAGCAAACAAAATTTGAACTGAATAAAAAATGATAATTTGGAGCAGTAGTTGCAAAATAGTTAGGTTTTTCCAACGGTGGTCGGCCGACCACCATTGGAAACGTGTACAAAAATACCATTTTCTTGAAAATGACTTCACACCAGGTGCCATAACTTTACAGGATGCTTTTGACTGTCATTTACCAACATCCTAGTAAGGTATGTCGTAAAAACTTGGTAGTTTTATTTTTCGATGTTTGCAAATGTTGTAGGCCCTATATTCCCTTTAAGTACCCGGTACACCTCGTACTGTGTACTGTATGCCTGTTGTACGAGTAAAGTGGTCAGTATTCCTACACGTGTGTGTCTGATATACATACATGTAATTTATGCTCCCCCACTAATTTGTGCATATTATGGCACTTGATGCTGTTTGTTACTCTTGCCAATCTGTTGCAGCAGCTGTATGCATGGCCCACAGCAGGAAGTACGCAATGGCATTGTGTTGCTTGATACGTAAACTGCATCGGCATGCCATGGCTGCATGTGGTCAGGGAAAAAATCAATAAAGCACTGGTGTTGCTTCTGTGTGAAATATATTTATTTAAAAAAACACTGTACATACAATTTGTCTCTGGCAAGTGTACACTGTATAATGGTACATACCGGTACTGTACTTGGAGCCTCTTTCAGTGAAAATGTGGGGAAAATTCAATAAGACAAAATTTGTCTTTTCTCTGTTTGTCTTGTCAAACCAAAAATTTGGCATTCACTGTTTACAGAAATGATTTTCATTAAAAAAAAATAACTTTTTTTCAGTCTTACAAGTTACCTGAGTTGACATCCCACATAGTATTATTACGTACCGGTAGATCTGTGATTTGTAGCCATAATTGAGGTGTTCAAATGCCTTTGTTCATCTGTGCACGAGTACAATGTTGATAATGAAAATAACAAGTAACGTTTAAAAGACATCTATGTTTTAGTGCATTTACTTATAAATACAACGTACTGGTCAGTATTCATAGACCGCGAGACTGACCATAGAGGACTGACAAGACTGCAGTGGTCAGATACATGTACATCACTTCATTGTCATAATTGCAGGTAGAATTGACCATTGATAGGGCAGTGACCCACATTAACAGACCCATTAGCTAGTGAAGTGTTTGCATACTGTAAGGACTCATCATTGAGGTTTAATTTAATGTAGTGTGACAGTATTCAGGCCTTCAATATGTGCCCAGGCTACCGTTGATGGCAAGAACTGAACAGATGCCAACACTCACAGATCAACATTATTTATTATTAATTAATTGGCGTCAGAATTCATTAATCAGTCTTCACAGTTGGAACATGATTAACATTTGCCAAATTTATCATTTTGCCAGAAGGTGTGTGGAATTCCAAACCCTTGAACGTTCCAAACCCTTCAACAAGAGAATTAATTTGCGCAAGTTCCTTAATGCATGTCAATCCAAAAGTCTCACTCAGAATTGACTCTTAATTTGCCCAGCAAAAAAAAGAAAGGGAAAATTTAAAAAAAGAAAATTCAAAAAAACCAAAAAACCCAAATACCAGTGAATTTCTGAATTCCATATGTAGTGAATCACCTTCCACTCCTAAGCGGCACCCAGACCAAGCATCAACTTTCTATGTGAATCTGTTGTGTTAGTGTTACTACAAAATTGCGTGGAATAAACTCTTGTAAGTTGTATGCGATGTGCATACATGTACTTTCAGACAGTCTATTATGATGGAGACACAATTTTGACTTGATGAGTGTTAATTGAACCCATTCTGTTTATTCCCAGCACACAGTCGCCCAAACCTGCATTTCTGGGAAGCAGTTGAATCACATTGGCATGCATGCGTAAATAGCAAGCGGAATTTGAAATGCCTGCATTGTTGTTGTTCCAAACTTGAATGTTTTGGAACAAATCAAATGAACTTATGTTGAAAGCACCATCAACAAATGAAGCAATCTTGCAACATAACTGCTTGCAGTTTCATGCAACATAACTGCTTGCAGTTTCACTGTTTTCTTAAAAAAGGATTTAAAAAAAAAATGCCTACACTATACCGGTAGGGCCTACTGTACATGCACAACGTAAATTTACGTTGTGCATACATATTACACCGCTTTACGACTTTGCATCAAATGTGACAGATCTTCCTGAACAAAATTATCTTTGTCAGCACTGATCACAGGCATGAGCTAGACAAAACAGCACATTAAACCCCCTCCTCCCCCCCCCCCTCCCCCCCCCCCCCCCCCTCATAAAATATGTTGGTCAGTGACCCTATGTCATAGCCAGAGGCTAAATTTGGACTGGCCCATGCTGGTGAAGGGAAGCTCAGTGTCCTTCTATCTCTTGCAGTCATGGCCTGAGCAGCTGACCATTCCTGGTATTTGTTGCAGTAGGCCAAGCATGCCATGGACCTCTGCAATGTGGAGGGCAATATTCTCAGCATTTGTCAGGAAGTGAAGGATTCATTGAACTTTTGATAGTGTAGTGTGAAATGAAATGTTTATCTTCCTTTTAAAACTGAAAGTTCAAATTGCTTTTATGAATACAGTTTATGTAATGGATATACATGTACGTGTTCACTTGTTTTGTGTATTTAGTTGCACAATAGGCCCCTACTCAATGCCTTGCCTTTTTTTGCCAGATCTGTACAAGTACCGGTATGTACATGTACATGTACCGGGGTACATGTAGTCTAAATGATGGACAATACGTGTACACATACAGCGTTTATGGCATTCATGCTTATTTTTTTTTCCAATCTGGTTTTCTTTTTATTTTTGTGTGTAGCTTTTTTTTTCTGCCCTCTATTAACACACTTAACACACAGCATGTTTTTCACGAACCACTGCATTTCACTTCTCACAGTAATATTTTTTCTGAGAAAGAGAGGACAGTACAGTGCAGTCACACAAGTGCTTGCAATGCTAGTTTTATACCAGAGCTTGGTTGCTGTGGATGTGTCATCTAAAAATTCAGACATGCCTATAGTGTACAGTACGGCCTCTGGTCAGTGGTGGATTCCATGTCATGCACAGTTTTGTATTGGATGCACAGTGATTGATGGATTCCATTTCCTAGTAAGACCAGGGAGTTAGGGTTAATGAGATACCGGTATTGTACACATTGTAAATGACACATTCAGACCATGTAGGTTTTGACATTCAGTACATATCAATTTAGCAACTTTCTGATCACCTCATGGTTGGTATTGGCTCGAATCAGCTACACCAAACCACTCAAAATGCCGAACAATGGAAACGAACAATAAACATGTTATTGCTGTATAGTCACTGAGCAACGCCAGTGCGCTTTACACGCACAGACGTCACCATGATGATATCACCAATAACAAAAATTACAAAAAGCTACATGTACATGTACGTGCATGTACTGGTACATATTTTGATGTTATTGAAACATGCTTTTGTTGTAACGGCGTGACATTCTAATGTTTTGAACGTTAGGTGTCTGAAATCAATAGGTGTACGTGGTAAAATACATACTGAATCATGGTATTTTAAGTACTGTGTGTTTTTTTTTTTGTAGAATATGAGCCTTTCTTATTCTGCATATTATAAAAACAGTCTAAAATCCATACTTTTTGACCCCAAAACCATTGTCTTGACAAAAAACACACAATTTGTTTTGACCCAAAAAATTTATATTGTACCACATTCCATCTCAATGGTACACCACTCAAAGTAATTAAGGCCTTGTTAATTGTCCCCTTTCATTGTTATCACATTTGATGTTGTGACGCTTGTAATTGTAAAGATCACATGAATGGCCACTTTTGCATGAAATGACCCATGGATGTAATTTAATTTTGTTTTCTTTGATATTTTATTCAATTCTCACAGGAGGATGAGGACTATCCAGTTGAAATTGACATCGATGTTCTCCTAGAAACGAACGTAGAGAAGGAGCGCGTGAAATTTGTAGCAGATATCCTCACTGATGTAAGACAACCAACAGAGGTAAGCAGATCCATCTCTGACGAAACACCACACTTCTCACTTAAAGGGAAGATACAACATTTGTAAACATCAAAAAACGAAATGATCAAATTATCACGAAATTCCTCAATGGATTTTTAGAGAATGACAGTCTACAACATCCTGTAAAATCGTGGCTCCTGGTGTGCTGACATTTTCAAGAAAAATTGTATTTGTCCATTGCTGGTCGGCCGACCATCGTTGGAGAAAACTGGCTTTTTTCAAAAACTGCTCCTAATATTTCATATTTAGTTATTCCACATTTTCTTTGCAATCGATTACACACCTGTAAAGGGGTTTAAGCCAGCTAGACTGATTCTCTGACCTCACAATTACCCAACGTATATAAATAGCTTTGTTATCTTAAGTGGGGTCAGGGAACCAGACTACAAGAACATGATTGATTTTCTTGGTTTTTCCAGCATCTAAAAGCCCAAAACATGAAGCAAGTAAAACAATATTTGATAAAAACCATACTAATCCTCCAAATCCAATAATTGCTGAAAAATTGCTGCAAAAGCAAATGTTGAACTATCCCTTTAAAGGCATCTATAGAGGATCCTAATGTGCATATCCCAAAAGTTATTACTGAGTTACTATCAAAAAGATCACTTGGATTTAAGATCGTACTGGTACTGAACACCCTGTGAAATTATTCCATCTGGCTTTCTATCGTATGGAAGTAATCAAGGAATTTAGGTGATTTCCAATAATCTTAGGAAGATACAGCATACAAGAATTTATTTCCAAAACGCGATAAAAGGATTGAGGATGCATCCCAATTCATTCTGGTTTTTGGGGGGCAGGGGTGTTTGGTTTGGTTTGTTGTTGTTGTTGTTGTTGTTGTTGTTGTTGTTGTTGTTGTTGAGAATTTTGAACGGATGGATGGCAGCTGGCATTTAATTACTGAATTTATTAAAGCTGTTTTGAAATCATCCATACATGTATGGGCAAAACAAAAGTATGATTTCTTTGCAGAGGAACACTCGGGAAAGCAAACCCACAGTGTGTGTGACAGCCTTTTCCACTGAATCTCGTTTGCATATAGAGTCAATAAAACTGGCAAGTTTTACTTCATAAAAACTTGGCAAAGGTCCAATTATTGTCCAAAGATCATGCTCAATCGCATTCTGTGTACATACCGTAGTACAAAGGGACATACCCAAACCAATCCCACTTATGAAAAATAACTGCCAGGCGTGTGCAGTTGTGCATGCACTAATCATTTCTTGCATGCCATCTGCTGCTATATTCCATATTTATAACTACGATCCATAATAAGTATAATGCGTACAGGTTTACATGCACTGTGCTCACATACCGGTATATTGGTGACTGCTCTATGTTCCGACACCCCTATTTGTCAGAAAAACCGGTAGGTGTGTCAGAACATACACATGCACATGTAGCACACATTTAATTCAAGAAGTATGTCTTTCAAAGATGATAGGGGATTTCTGATTAAAAGAATGCAACATCTTGTACAAATGTATTTATAATTATAAGGAATTTTGCGTCAGGGTGATGTAAATCAAATTAGGTTTTGCCCTTCACCGACGTATAAACACTGTATACTCAGTGTGTTACCTCCCGAGTGAAAGTTGGAAAAAAATCACTCGGGTGGGACTCGAACCCATGACCTTCTGCTTTCTAGTGCAGACGTCTTACCACTCAAACACCGAGCTAACAGGATCGGTTGGCTGGTTCGAACTCGGGAGGTAACACACTGAGTATACAGTGTTTATACGTTGGTGAAGGGCAAAACCTAATTTGACGAATGTATTTGCCATACATTTTAATTTGCCTAAAACTTTTGTTTTTTTCCCTCTCTCTACAGACATTCATCAAAGAATTATTACAGAAAATTGAGGTGTTGAGTTGAATACTACAATGTATCTAGTGTCCTCCTCTCCAGCATCTAAGTCCATGCAACCCATTATCAAGTGCATCAAACAAGGGGGGCTGTAGCAACACCAACAGGGCTGAGGAGCTTACCCCAGTCAAGTTATCATAGGAATCACAGGTTTGCATCCACTGGTACATGTACATTCTGCAGTGAACTACAATCTTCATTTATTTGGATTATTTAAAGGGAATATATATACAACATTTGAAAACATCAACAACAACAACAAAAAACTACCAAATTATCATGAAATACCTTACTGGACTGTTAGTGAATGACAGCTTTAAGCATCCTTTAAAATCATGGCACCTGGTGTACTATCATTTTCAAGAAAAGTGGTATTTTGTATCAATTTCCAATGCTGGTCAGCTGACTGGCGTTGGAATGAAACTGGCTTATTTCTAATACTACCCTTAATTTACCACATTTAGTTAGTTCGTGTTTTATTTGCAATTGATTGCACACTTGTGAACGGGTACAATCCAGCTAGACTGGTTCCCTGACCTTACAAATTCCCTGACGTCTGTAAAGTGCTCCGTTTCATCTTAAGTTGGGTCAGGGAGCCAGACTACTGGAAGATGATTGTTGTTCTTGGTGTTTCCAGCATCTACGAGCACAAAACTTCAAAGAAGTCAGTGCAACAATACACGTTTGTATGTACCGTATTTGCTATAAAATACTAACCACCCAATTATCCATCCATTTCTGAAACTTACAGCAAAAGCCAATGTTGTACATACCTGTACATGTACTGTATATTCCCTTTAAATATATTTATAGGTAGACTGGATTATTTAAATTTGGCCTGTGTAAGAAATTTCAAAAAAATCTGGATTTAGGGAATCTTCGAAGCTGGTTCTAAATGGACATGTACACATGTACTTGTACATGGATGTACCGGTACTGTACTTACCGTACATACCGTACATATTTATAGGGTACATGTACTGTATTATAAACCAACCTCGGTCCACCTCATTGTACGGTAGGCCAAGTCTTGTTTAAAAACGGAGGGTTTCAGGCAATAGTTTGCCAAGACCAAGATTTTGTTCAGCTCAGCAAAGAATACATTGTACCTCAAGTAATGGGCCTGCCGTACATTTACTCCAGTCCAACTTGTTGCATTTGTTTTGGGGAAAGGATTGACATGGATCTTGTATATGGTCCCAATGCCTAAGACACAGTCTAAAAATATTTGCTGTAAATATGGCAACATTAAACGTGCTTGTATGGGTTAAAATTCAGGGATTTGTAATACACTGCATGCGGTAATTCCACTTGATCCTTTTTGTTCAATGTAAATCATATTTTTTTAATATGGTACATGTAACATCTTTTTTGGTATTAATTAATGCGGCTTTTAGAAAGTTACACACATGTACGGTACATGTACCGGTATGTACATGCAAATGATGGATAATGTGATACAGAAAGAAGAAAAAAAAACATTTACATGTACCAACCAAAAGAATAGCAGAATATACCGACCAAAAAGTTAAGTTCACACGTCGGCTCTCCTCAAAACCACTTCTCTTTTGGAGGAGAATTTGCAAAGTTTTCTCGAGTTAGAACTAAAAGTACTAGTACCGGTATGTGGTACATGTAGCAGAAGTGATAGTGTCACATAATCTGAAAGCTACTAATTCAAATTTGAATTTGTTCTTTCTGAAATTGATTTATCTACCGGTATACATACCAATTACCTTGTAAGTTAATGTGTGAGTTTGAAACTTGTACATTAACAGTGTTAAAGTGGACAATTTCTAAGCCTGTACTTACTTGATTGACTTTATTTACTTATTTTGTTTTTTAGGGGGTGTTATTAGTTTCTATGATTCTGTCTTATTACTTGCCATTTCAGTTTCGTATTTGGTTTGGAAATGTTTGAAGAAATCATTTTTGTGTGAGCACCTTGCTTTATAAAAGTAGATGTGAAATGTGCAGTGTTATTTTTTTTAAAGTGATCTACATACATGCAGTGTATTTCCTTACTGTACATGTACATGTAAATTTGTTTACCTGTTAAATGCATAATTTCGGTTTAACAAAAAATAATTAATGTTTTTCCAACCTGTTTAATTTACAAAACCTTGAAGGCACTGCATGCAATACTCAATAACATTTGATGTACATGTAGTCAAATGTTGACTTATTCAATGACTGCCCGCTTTATACAGGGTGAGTAAAAAAAAAAGGAAACCCAAATGTTGGGACCATTTTTGTAATGGAAGTTCTGCTTGTAGCACTTTCAAAATCTAGGATATCAAAGCCCAATTCGTAAGCTTTCGTTTAGTACAAGAATCATTCAAATCAGTCCTTTTCAAGTTACGGAGTTTTAAACACAGCCGCCGTTTTAAGGTTCTGTCCACGGATCACAAAAGTTCAGTGTTCTCTCAGCAACACGAAAACAAGTCACATAAGGATGTGTGTGAATTGTTTTCATTTTGCTGAAAGAACACACACCTTTTGTGTGATCTGTGGACAGAACTTTAAAACTGTGGTTGCATTTAAAACTCCGTAACTTGAAAAGGACATGAGTGACTTGAATGATTTTTGAACTAAAAGAAAGCTTATGAATTGGGCTTTCATATCCTAGATTTTGAAAGTACTACATGCAGAACTTCACTAAAACAATTGTCCCGACATTTGGGTTTCGGGGTTTGTTTTTTTACTCACCCTGCACAAGTATGCACTTGAAATGGCAAATTAAAAAGTGAAGGGGTAAGAGGAACAGGAAAAATGTCACACTTTGAACGCTAAATTTAAAGAATGATCCACATGCACATTAATACCCAGATTTGAATAATGCTCAGGATGCTGTTGCCTGAGATCTTGGCCCAGTTTCATGGGTCATAATAGTGATCGAAGGCTTGTTGGCATCCTTTGTTATTATATTTTTGTTGTATACCTGGTAGCTTGCTGTTCAGTAGCGGGAGGGCCTGGAATTTAATGGAAATTGGAGGAGCTGATGACATGTTGGACAGTTAGTTGAGTTGGTGATTTGGTGGTTGTCTTCATAAACCAAAGAGTGTGGTACATATTTGTACAGGCTATAGACCTTCATTAATGTGTGCATTTATAAGCAAACTGGTTAATACATAGTACTTTGTACTTAAAGCAGTACTTACATACAATGAGCTTCATACAGATGTACACATATGCATGAACATGCATAATGTGTAATATTGAAATGCTGCAAACACTTGGTGGTTTCTTTCTAGATTTGTATTTTAATTTGGTCATTGTAGTTTTTTTGCAATTGTTTTCTTGCAACAGCTTCCCTCCAAGTAAAGTGCAAATGTATATTTGTGGCATAGAATGACAGTTTATTTAATTTCATTTTTTTTGGTATGACTTTGATGTAGTTTGTTTTAATTGAAAGCACATGGAAGGTATCTGTAAGCTACTGTACAAACGCCTGGTGTGGCTATCCCGTAACGCCTGCACCCGATTTCATGAAACTCTACGTAACTTACGATGCATCACAGCGATGCGACGCGTCGTATCTCTACGATGTGTCGCAGCTGCGACGCGTCCTGCGATCCATTTCACAAAACACGTCGTAAGTGCGACGCGTCGTAGGTGTATTTATTTCACAACTCGGTGACTGTTTTATGTATTTAGTCAGCGTACAGTAAATAGTCGTCTGATATTCAACAAAGAGTCGCGGATCTCAGCTCGAAATTTGTTAAAACGTAAAACAAAATGGTGGCTGTGTGATGCAATTTTGAAGGAAAACAAGCTCTCAGTGGACTGTTTAGCTACTTTGAAATTTCAACTGCAATATTCCAGTCTAATTCATAATTATTCAATGAATTTTCTATTTACAACTTTACACACATTGCCTCGGTATTATAATCTCGTTTTTGTCATGTTTATGACATTAAACTGGCTAAGAAAGAGACTCTTCTTATTTTGCGATGACCACTAGACATGTCGAAACTTGCGACGTGTTTTAAGCCGTTGTCAAGGAACTTACGACGCGTTCGTGAGTTGCGACATGTTACACGTCGTAACTTGAGTTGCGACGCGTCGCAGCGCTTCCACCCTTCGTGAAATCGGGTACAGGTGTCATGGGTGTGGCTAACCTCCAACCCTATAACTATAAAGCCATGTGTTGTCATTTACATGTACGCTAGTGAAGTAGGACAAAGATGGACCAAACTCAAGAAAAGTCACCAATAAACAGTCTTTCATCCTCTTGTTTGACTTAATGTAGGTAACCTGGAAGAAGTTTACTGTACGAGTCGTATTACATAGTCAGTGAAAATCGTTCTTGGCTTGTTACATGTACATGTGACCATGAGAGATCTCAGTGTTTCATCATCTCGCAACCTGATAGTTGGGCCATTTGTATATTTTCAAAGCTTTTAGCATACCGGTACCTTGATTAAAAAAAGGGGGGGGGGGAGTGGGCGTACGATTGGGTTATGCACATGTACATGTAAGTTCATGTGTACAATAGGCTCATTGTCACTTGTCAGGGACGGATAGGCTGTATGTTAAGTCCCCTATTAGCGGTTCATTTTTTAATCTATATAACTGCAAACATTAAATAAAAATACTTTCATGCTTGGGTCTAATGTAATTTTGTAAATGTTTTCTACAAAAGAACCTTGTACTTAAGTTTGAATGTGTAACTTACTTGTAATAATGAACAGTTTCAGACTTAGCTGTAAAATTGTAAGCATGTCCAAAGTTCAGCACCCAAAACCTCACCCTTCACAGCAGTCTGGCAATGGGCCTTGACATGTACGTGATAGCTGCTAGGAGTGCTAAAGGTTTTCTGGGCTATTTAAAAACGTTTATGTTTCCAATATCACTATTTGTCCATCAACATCACTTCCTATATTTTGTTTCCTTTTTTTTTTCAGACAACATGCAGTACAGTTATCCTCTGTTTCTTGTTCGTTGTTCTCGTTTGCCATTCACATTTCAGTAAGTCTTGATGTTATACTCTTCAAACAGAAAACAAAACATTTTTTGAATATTATGGAGTGTAGTGTTGTGGAGTGGTGTTTTTTTTTTAATGTGCCCCATCCATTTGTGGAATACTTGAAGTTGAATTGTGTGCATTGAAATTACAGTGGAATCTGGATAAGTCAAACCCAGGGGAATCGGCTCAAATCTTGAGTTAAGCAGTGTTTGAGTTATCCAGTGGATTTTCAATTCAACAACAATTGACGGGATAAGTGTTTACTTTGGGTAAACTGTTAACTCAAAAACCCTTCTAACTCAATTTGAGTTAGAAAGGATTTTGAATTAACAGGTTGTGACTTATCAAGATTTCACTGTTCTTATTAAAGATAAGTTAAAGCGCTATATTCTATTTTGATTGTTGCACATGTACAAGCATATAGCATGCTTGCCAAAAGGGCACCCACAATAGCAATGTGACAATCATAACGGTAATTGTACTGAATGTAGCATTTGTTGTAATCTTTTGTCAAGTATTTCTGTACTTAGCTGTAAATAGTATACTATCAGGTTTATGTGTGTTTGATACATTATGCGATCTTTGTTATCAAATTTAACTTTTTGATCTTCATTTAAAACAAAATTTTTTTTTTTTTTTAATTTGCGATGCAGTGTCGGTGTAAGAGAATCAAATTTTACCATCAATGATATCAGTAAAGAAACAAATGAAATAGAAGTGTACTATTAAACATGCTAATAACATTTTTGGGTGGAAGGAATGGCTTATTAAATTCCTTGTAAAATTAACAAACCTGAATATTAAATCTAAGCTGTAACAGATAATATTTTCCCAGGAGATACTTAACTAGTTACATGTAGGGCAAATATTGAATTGACATTTTGGTTTGCTTAACATGGATTCCTGTTTCCCGACCATTTTACTCATGGCTTTTGAAAAGTAGGAAATGTCTTACTGCAGCCGGGCAAGTCAAAAAGAAAATGGCCTATTAAATGAGAATTTTTTTTTTTGAAGATGTGGCTTGCTCCATTTTATTAATAAAAAAAAAAACCCACAGGGATTGAGTACATATTATTAACTAGTAACTGACAATGTTAATTTTAATAATGTCTAATTTAATACAAACATCACAAAACTCACCAGTGATCATGTACCGTTCAAAGACAATGAAACAAGGGCGTTTTACTGCTTCATGAATGAACACAAATGTGCAATGGAAAACAGACAAAAATCACCATCATTGTTTCAGCAAAAAAATCCTCGTATAGGCCCTAAAACACAAGATATGACAGTAAAAAAACCCATTGTTTCAGTCTTGACAAAAATATAAAATCTCATTTGTATCTGAATGCGTGTGTGTGTAACCTCTGGTTCTCAAAGTGGATTCAGTAACATATGCCTATAAATTCTCATAGCATGAATCAATTTCAGTAATTCTTTTTTCAAATGAGTGAAAGAACATGCTCGTTTAATATATGACTCATTGGTGTGTCAACATTTAATTGCTTTTTAAGGGAACAAATAATCAATTCGGGTCATTTTCTTTTTGACTCACCCTGTGGAATTACGTGCATATGTAAACTAACTGTGTATAACATACTTGAGCAAATTGTTAATGTAAGCCATAGATAATTAATGTAGGTGAATGCCCCCAATTTTCATGGTTGAACTTGAAGACCCTTCTTTTGCACTGATCAGTGCCTTTATTTGCACCTTGCTAGACGGTTTTCCAATTTTGTTTTTAGTTTGATTGTTCGTGCAGTGGCGCACACTAATTTACTGAACTTAAGAATTGCTTTGCTATTAAGTGTAATGTTGGCGCTGTTGATTTGATTTTAGCAATAATAAGTTACCCAGTGATTGATCAGCAATAAAATAAAAATGATTTAAAGAAAAGTTGATTGATGGTCTCAGTTCCGTGTTTTGTGCTTGCATCAAACATGGTATATTTTTAATGGACAGCTGGTGTTGGTGATTTCTGTCTTTGAGATGATAATTATGGTATTCTTCAAAATTTTACCTTTCAGAGACACTTTCCAATACACGAAAGACGACTTTGAACACGTGCCGACTATTGAATTATGTAATTACACAGTTTTTGAGCTTTGTTACAACTGATAATGTAGTAACCAGCCGATAACGTATCACCAACCGATAATGTATCACAAATTGACCGATATTGTATCACTAACCGATAATGTACCAAAAATTGACTGATAGTGTACTAAAATTTGTATCCGATAATGTATCATGTGTCG